AGTCACTGAGTCAATCATCTCATTGAGGGTCTTCTTCTTTTGCACTGTCCCTCCACCCTTCCAAGCATGATCTCCCTCTCCAAGGATTGGTCACTCCTGTAAACATACCATGGCATGTAGGAAACTTAAAATCACTCTTTGCACACCTCTCCACTTAATTATTTATTCTCTTTTTGTTTCATTCATTAATTTAACAAAAACTTACCAAATGCCTACTGCTCAAATACACAGACATTCCTGGGTACTGAGATGTACTGGTGTTAGATAACCCTAAGTCACGTGACTCACAGCAAACCTGTGGACAATGGAAGGAAACACTGTGTGATCCAACGCCATTCTTGCAATTGCAGCTGAGCCTCAGCCCACTCTTGTAACCACTGGACAGTACCTTCCAAGCCAGGAGATTCATCGGCTAGCACTGTATCAGACAAGGTTTTGTTGCTAGTCTGACAGTTCTCATTGGCCAATTACTTCAAAAGTCGGCTGCCAATCCTACTTTCTAGTCTGTTTCCATCTGCAAGCTCTGCTGAAAAGAGTTCAGCACGGCTGACCCTGCGGATAATTGAAGTAAAGGTAGCACAGCTTCACCAGCAGGTTGACTTGTTCCAATATCACAGCAACACACAAACCACCACCGTCCAAAACCTGACCAATGTTGGTGTGAAGTATATACAACAGTTCATTGACTCTCTGCACCAATCTCTTAAGGAAGGTACTACCAAATCCCCCAATCCACATGGTCAATAAATGACAGAATAATACTTCAGGGGTTTTTTTGTTTGTTTTTTACTGAAGTGTCCAGGCTCTTGACCTCTATGCTATATTAACAAAAACACTGGTTTTATGGAACTTCCAGTTTACTAGTGAAGACAGACATTAAAGAAATATACAAACATGGCTTTCATTTCAAGTTCTGATGGGTGCTGTACAGCAGGTTCCATAAGATTGGATGGTTTAGCACTGCAAAGGCTCTTCTTAAAGGCTAGAGAATGCAATGGTTACCTCTGGTCTTTCTCATCGCACCCAAGTGACAAAGCCATCAAATGCAAGCAAGTACTGCTAGTTAAAAATAGTGGGAGACCACTAAAGCTAGAAGGGAAGCAAGTAAGCAGCTTAGTCCTAACCCCACCAGAGAGCCACCCAGGTGACCCTTCCTTTGAGAACACTCAGAATTCTAGGAAGAGAAGAGAAAATCTGAAGAATGCATAATTCCCTTCTCCAGCTCTCCTCCTTCCTGATTTAAGACATTTACACTGGATCAGATGACCCTCTTCATTGATAAAGACGATTGCTTGTACATATACTGCCCTCAGCCAAGAAACCCACGGTGATTGTCTTCAAGCCCAAGACCAAACCTGCTGCCATGAAGTAAATTCCAACTCATGGTGGCCCTCAGAACAGAACTGCCACTAGCATTTCCAAAGCTGTAATCCTTACGGAGGGAGCACTGGTGGCAAGTAGCTGCTCTGCCATCCTGAAAGCACGTGGTTCAAATCCACCAGCTGCTCTGTGAGAGAAGGAGGGGCAATCTCCTCTGTCTCTCGTGTGATTAACTGCCTCTGAAAACCCGCCAGAGGCTCAGCTATGGGTCAGTTCCAACACGATGGAACACAACAGCAATCATTATGGAAGCAAAATGACTAACCTTTCTCTCAGAGTGGCTGACAGTTTTAAACTGCCCACCTTTTTGTTAGCACCTGAATAGCTTACCCATTGCCTGGGCATGATGGGCATCTAGAAATATTTAAATTCCACATAAATACTTGTGCTTATTAAAAAAATATTTCTTTGGTTTATCTATAATGATGAAAAGAAATGCACCCAGTATAGTTCAAAAGATAGCACACAGTTAAAAAAAAACCCAGACAAACACAGAAAACAAAAATAAAAAGCTTTTCCGAGAGTTGGCCATTAGCAGATTTGGAAACAGAAACAAATACTAACTTGAAACACAAAAGCACAAGAGCAGAGTATCAAGTTCACAGAGGCTCAGAATTCCCAGGTTATCTGGATTTTTAAAATTTTAGGTTTCACTAACCTGCTTTACCAACTACAGTTACACCTCTTTTATTTCATCTTTAAAGAAATCACAGAAGAAAATCAAGTTGTTTCTATGTGGATTTGGGAGAATTTGCATCTCTGATTGCTATTACTTATTTCTTCTCTTATTTTTACCTTCAGTCTTTGTATTAGCCATGGTCCATAAGGAGTGAAGCATGTTAGCTCACTATAATCCACATTACTGCAACAAAAGTATTGTGACATGTTAGTTTTTAATTCTGTGTCTCTTGGTTTCACCCTACTGAATGAAAACTGCAGTGATTTACAGGAGAATGGGAGAGGGCAAGGTGTTCATAATAGCACTGTTAATTAAATGCTCTCTTCCCATCTAGACAGAAGAGCAGCACCATTTTCCAGTTCAATAAATTAAATCGTTTTTTCTGGTTTATTGTTCAGAATCATAAAAAAGAATCACTCTTGATCTGAACGGCCACAAGATAGCTTCTGGCTTCATTATCTGAGTGTATTATGTCATAGAACAGTCTATATTTTACCTGGTTGTGATTTATGATGTCACTGTATTAAAATGCTTAGATAACTAAACATACATGTTAATCATTTGACTCCCAAGGAAGTCTACATCATCCTAAATCATCTCTAACAAGCAAATGATACATTAAGTCTTGTCTTTCATTTTTAGCAAATTACCCCTGAGATGAGTCTACACGAAGTTAAATTGTAAGTATGAAAAAGAACTTAACATCAAAGAGAAATAGTCTAAAGCTTAAGAACTAAACTTTCACTTAGAAACCAAATGCCCCAAAGCATGTGAAGGTTAAATGGTGTTCCCATAACTAAAGGATCTAGCTTCTCAAAACTTTAAATAAACATCTTTTCAGCTTAGTGCACCAACTACCACCATGCTTTATAGTGGGAAACAGGAAACAGGACACTACAAAGAGAGTTTTCTCTCTTTAAAAGAGAAAAAACAAACTTAGGTTTAGAGTACCAATCCCCAAATCAAACGCATTGCCACCAAGTGGATTTTAATTTACAGCGACTCTATAGAACTACCCCACAAAGTTTCCATGGCTGCAAATATATATGATCCACATATCTCTTTCCTACAGAGCTGCCGGTGAGTTTGAACTCCTGCCCTTTAGGTAACACCCAAGCACTTCACCATTATGGCACCAGGACCCCTGTTTAGAGTATAAAACCTCCTTAAAAACTGAGATTCTTAAGAATATGTCGTTGAGAAATCACTTGCAAACTACCTTCAAACCTTTGAAAACAATCTACTTTGAATCGTCGGTCTAAATAGGTCATGTAACTTAGAAAAATTAAAATTAGCTGCGCAGGGTCAAATCTTTCTCTAAAACATCTGCATCCCACATGTCCTGTTCTTTTCAATGTCAAACCTGAGCTAATAGTCAAGAGTGATTGTGATACATGAATTTATTTCAAATTTCAAAGATATTCTGCTTTTGGACTAGACATAAAAGTTAACATTATATATGAAAACACTGAAAAAAGCATTGGAAGTTGGTGAAAAAAAAGAAAAGCACAGTTGAGTTGAGTGAGAGAGGTCTGTATTCATGTTCATGCTTCACTTTCAACACACCTATCTGCAATGTAGGCAAATCAAAATCAGCCAAAAACACCCTTAATTTGAACAGATTCTTCTTCCTTAGAAGTTTCTTTTCCCACAAGCTTCTCTTCTATCAAACTAGCTCTGTATGCAAGGGATGTATCGGACAGCTGCAATCCCAAGCACCTTTAAGAATTTAATCACTCTGTAAAATTCTGGTAAACTCAAGATTCAGTCTCTACTTCCCATAAAACCTTCCCTGGCACAGGGCAAACGGGAACATCTTGAAGCTTCAGTGTTTCGAAAGATCAGCAAAATAAAACAAAGCACAAATGAGAAAGTATGGCTATGTGAGACACATTGGACTCCCCTTTCTCCACAGGCAGGCCATGCATGAAACCAATGGGCCCCCAATAATGTTTAAACAGGAGGGCACCTAATGGTGCTGGCAGAGGGAGGTGAACAGAACGAGGGAGGCAGGGAAAGAGTTCGTTCTGAATTCTTCAAAGCCACCAGGAACCAGAAACGAACCTCATTCATTCCCTTCCCGGGTTAAGAGTAACTCTGATACTCAGGGTATGACGATGGGAGGGGGGAATATTACTTTCACATATCTCTTTTTTCCAACTATGCACAAGCAAAGAGTGATCAGAGATGTGGAGGAAACAGGGTTTCTTCTCTGTCCATCTCCTAAAGCCACTTCCTCAAAATGAGATCTTGTGAAATCTTGATTCCCTCGAGTCCACTTTCCTTTCAAAGGGAAGGATTTTTCCCTCTGAGAAGGAAGTAAACAGAAGACTTGACATTGGGGAAAGGCCAAGGAACATTCTAGGATATCCCCGTCCACAGACGAATGAGAAAAATATGTAAAAGTCCCTGGGACTGAAAGAAACAATTCTCCTTTCAGCCCCTCCACCAAACCACTCTCCTTAAGCAATGACAGAAAGCGAAGCGTCCCAGCCAGGGACAGAGCAAGCGGACTTCTCCCTCCAGGACAACCTCTCCAAAGCCGCTTTCTCCTTCCTCGGTACCTCAGCCCCCTCCCAATCCCCACCCCATCTCTAAGCAACCGCTTCCCTACCCCAGCCCCGGCTTTAGTTCGGAGCGGATCTGGCCCAGCAACCACCCAGCCCTTTTGTGCGCCCCTCTGGGTGGTGTCCCCCTCACTCTGGTGGTTCGCGAACGCCCCGGGACGAGGCTCCCGCGCTGGAGCTGGGGAACCCCGGGGGCTCTGGCCTGAGGTTCCCGCCGCCCAGAGCCCACTGCCCCCCAGTCAGAGCTGCCCAGCCCGGATCAAGTTGCCGGGCACCCAGCGGCGCGCACGGGCCCCCGTCCCTCCCACTCAGGCGGCCCCTCCCCGGCTCGGCGCCCCGGTCCCCCGCCTCCTCGGAGGTGAGCGCGCACTCACCAGAGGTGAGCTGCATCCAGGCACAGATCTTGTACACGGTGGCCGTGTTGCAGAAGAAGAAGAGGGTAAAGCAGATGATGCAGGCGATGATGAGCATCATGGAGAGGCCGATGAAGAAGGAGGCGGCTTTGAAGGCGCCCGAGGGCAGCGTGGAGAAGTCCGTGAAGCTGCCCCTGCAGGTCAGCTCCCGTGAGAAGCCGTTGCCGATGCAGTAGTGGAAGAGCCCGAAATAGCCGGCTTGCGGGGTGTCCACGCCGTCGCCGATCCAGTAGGGCTGGATGAAGCACACCACGTTGACGATGGCAAAGCAGATGGTGAAGATGGCCCACAGCACGCCGATGGCCCGCGAGTTCCGCACATAGTTGGTGTGGTACAGCTTGGCAGCCTCCTGAGCCGGCAGCATCGCGGCGGCAGCGGCGGCGGCTCCGGGCATTCTCCCCCTCCTCCGCCTCCTCCGCCTCCTCGGCCTCCGCCTCCCCCCGCCGCGCGGCGCACTGGAGACACTCGCGGAGCCGCGCGCGCTGCGAGTCCCCTGCCTCCGCCTCAGCCCAGCAGCGCCCGTTTCAGAGTCTGCATCCTCGCTCCCGGAAGGAGGGCGGGGGAGCGCCGAGCACCCCTCCGGCTCGCCTGGCCCTGCCTCCCGGCCCCCTCCCTCCGGGTCCC